TTTAACTTTCTTTTTCCAGTAACTTTTTTTTTTTTTTTGGTGTGTGACAAATGGCTTTTGGTTCTAAGACTCATCAAATGAAATTTCTTTTTCCAGCAAAGCCAGACTTTTTTGTGACGTGGTGGAAACTTGCCAGTTTCTTGTGTCTTGCTGTAGGATAAAAGAGCTTTCAGACAGAAGCCCTGATTCTGTAATTCAATCTCCTTGGGAAGAGCTCCAGGGAATTGTTGCTGTGATCAGTGAGGCTTTGCATGGAAAGAGAGATCTGGGCAGATCTGATTGCCACGTCTTCACCTAGACTCCTTAACCTCTTCTGATTTGCATGTGAAATTGGGCAGTGCTTCCAAATTTCTGGCTGTTGATTTATGAGTATTTGTAAATTATGATAGCTGAGTGAGCATCATGATCTGGGAGACTTGTTTAATGCTGACTCCTTTTCATTGCTGCTTAATTGAAATGGTTTTTATGTTGATGTTCCACTGGTGATACAGAGCAAGGAGACCATCAGCTGGGCTATAAAGCAATCTTGTACAGTTTCTAAGCAGAGGCTGCCAGCCTGCCTTTGAAGAATACTTACCAAGAACTAAGTTTTCCAAATTGTTCGGTGCCATGGGAACATAAGACTTTAATGCTTGCGGAAAAGTGCTAGCTCGGCACCTCCGAAGTTCACTGTGTGACCCCAGGGAAGGTAAGATTCGTGTGTCTTAGGGTAGAAGAGATATTGGAAGCTCAACCTCTCTGTCTGAGAATGAAACTTAGGCGTGGATGTGCACTTAGTCCTTAACGCCGCTGGGATGTGGCTGCTGCGGGTGCTTTGTCATGATGGGTTGTGTGATAAGAAGAGCCATCTACTGTGACCTGCACTGAAATGCTCTGATTTAACACAGGCCGCTGAACGGTCACCAGGTAGCAATTTTTAAAATTAACTGAGCAGAGTTGGATTCAAACCAGTGAACTTCTTCATAGTAAAAGGTGCGAGAATGTCCTATCAGGTAATTTAAAAAATAAATAAAAAAGGACTAGAAGGACAGTCCTACCTAGAGGCACAGGAATTGCCCTGGAAATACTATTTCTCCTTTTAGAGATTAAAGATGCCACTGTTCTGTAGCATATTAAATTCCTTTTACCTTTTTGCACCATTTTTGGCACTTCAGCTTGGGAAAAGATTGCTCCTCTACTAATGTTGTTTCTTTCCTACTTAGACTCACTTAAAAATTACTCTAACTTCAGAAAGAACCTCCTTTCCCACCTGTTTGTCACTAAATATTCATGTAGCATCCCAGGTGGGTTTACAACTGAGAGGAGGTGCAGGGAGAAAAGCGATAAAGCTGTGATCCCCTTAATCGCACCGTTCACTCCGCAGCTAAGGCTGCGTGCTCCGAGTCGGATGAGAGGAGCAGTAGGTAGGACCCACCTGTATTGCGCCAAACCCAGCCCAGCCAGGGGGCACAGGGCGGTTCATGAAGCCAAAGGTTCTTGGGGCAGCACAGGGATCCACCTCTGAATTTTCTGCTGCAGTCTCACGCTCTTCTGAGTAGACTTTGCACCAACACGTACCACAGAGGAGCAGCTCCTGATGCTGAAGTCACGATCTGCTCCTTTAACAGCTGTGATTGAAAATCATAGAAAGCAGCAAAGAAGTGTCGTTTTCCTAGCTCTCCTGTCCTCTTCCTTCCCTCTTGCTGAGCTGTTCTGGTCTAAAAGGATTAACCCCAAATGTGTGGGTGTGCTGACCTGCTGGGGATGGTAATTAGCACGATCACCATATTGCCATGTTTGCTCTGAAGGAAAAGAGACTTTTGGGTAGGACGTGTGTCTGCCCACTCACCCCTGGTAAATTCCTGAGCCGTAAGCAAATTTCAGTCAAACCTGACAGAGGAGAAGCCTTGAATTTGTTGCTTTGGTTTTCACAAGAGTTAGTAGAGAGAGACCTGCTGGGATGGGGCGAGGTGTGAGCTCTCCCTCTATCAGACAAGTCGAGCTGTAGATTGGTGCTGTGTTTGTGGTGCTACTCATGGAGCAGCTTGTAGAAACGAAGCCAGGTCAGGACCAGCTCTGCCTCCTCCCTCCAAACAACCCACCAGAGAGTAACTTCTCATTCTTGTGTGCCTCAGCTGGATTTTTCCTGGAACCCTAAAGGTGAGAAACTTTATAATCTACTCTTGGTGTGAAGCATCACCTTGCTGTCTCAAGCACTGGCCCTTTGATGGCTGCTACACACGGGGTAACTGGACAACTGTTGTGCACAGAGCTTGGATAAAAGCAGGGGCATTGCTAATGGTCCTCCTGTCTCTTGCAGGCTAAGGTAGCCAGCATCTATGAATCGCCTGGCTTCTTTCTAGGGTTGGATCCAATTCCAGGAGCCCTTGAAGCTATGCAGGAGATGATCCGCATGCAGGAGTAAGGACACTTTGCACTCTGAAACCCTTTTCCATTATCTTATGCGCTTTCCCCTGACTGCTAATGAACACTGTTTCTTTTCAGCACCGAAGTCTTTATTTGCACAAGTCCTCTCCAGAAATATGAGCACTGCATTGTGGAAAAGGTGGGAGAAAACTTATTTTACTGGTTTTAATGCTGCTTTTGCAAGGCCTTGCTGTTTCATACCACCCAAGTCAGAGTCACTCATTTATAAAGACGGTAGCCGGCGCAGGCTCCCCTGCAAGCCCTCGGTGTGAGGGGCAGCTGCCCGGACACAGCGATAGCATAGGACGGGGAATCTCGGAGCACCGCGTGATGCCAACCTCACCGCAGGGCACGTGAGCTTTGTGCTCGTGGAACTGCTGCGACACTTGGGCTCCAGCTGTGCCAGCGGCGATGGTAAAGGAACTGGTGCAGCATAGCCGGGTAAGGAGAGCTTGGCTTTCAGTGTGGCCCACAGGGATGGGATATTCCATGGGGAATCCTGGAGGGTCCTCAACTGACAAAACCTTATTCTATCTAAATCCGGAGTCGGAGATACCCAGCTAGCCTGAAAGAGGCCAGTGCTGAGTTAAGAGGAGGCTGTAGCATTGGAATTAGCCCGGTTTGCCACTGGCACAAGAATGGAGTGGGGGACCTTAATCACTGGAATGACTTAGATGGGCACAATCCACGTGCTCTGGGCAAGCAGCCAGCGCCACTTGCAGACTCTACAACGATTAGGCACGGCAAACAGTGCTGACTGAAGGCCGTTAAAAGTACATGTTAAATCAGCCCCCTGGACCATAGCCAGTCTCTGTGGCGGGGATTCGCAGACATAGTTGTAGGTACATGGAGGAAAAGATGGCTGTACTAGAGCTGGTGTGACTTGAGCAATGTGCAAACTGGAAGTATGGCAGAATTTTCTCCTATTTTATTTCTTGCCTCCGCAGTACAAGTGGGTAGAAAAACACTTGGGACCTGAGTTTGTGGAGCGGATTATCCTAACCCGAGATAAGACCGTTGTATCTGCTGACTTGCTGTTCGATGACAAGGATACCATTAGAGGTTTGAAAACCATTTGCATCACTTGCTGTTAGTTGGGAAGGAAAACCCCCAGCTGACTCCAGCTTTCGTCCCTTGCCCTCAGGTGCAGAGCTGAACCCAAGCTGGGAGCACATTCTGTTCACCTGCTGCCACAACAGGCACGTCCAGCTGCAGGCACCGCGCAGGCGGCTGCTGTCCTGGGCAGATGATTGGAAGTCCATCTTGGAAAGCAAGCGCAGGCAGTAATGCAAAAAGGGGATGCTGTGCTCTTCCCACTGCTGAGCCAAGAACCAGCTCACCCGCTGGCAGGGAAACCCAGTCCCAGGAGACAGCGAGCATCGTCACCTGGGGCAGGGGCGCTGCGGGGCATCGCTCACAGTAAGAAATGAGCTGCCCTTGCTAGATGGGCTGCGGAGCTGACTCCTCTCTGGGTTGCTGGAAGATTGCTCTGCATTCAGTTAGTTGGATGTTTGCTGCTGGTGAAGAGAAACTATTAAATACAAGCAGTTGTGGGTTGATGGTTGCTTGTTTTCTTTTTCTTATGTGCATGTGCTTTTAACCTCACTTCCATTTGTTTTGGGCTGACCAGGAGCGGAGGGCGGGGAAGAGGAAGAAGTAAAGCTCTGAAACTTGATCAGACACAGCGTGGGTATCTCTCAGGGAGCAAGGTGCTCAGCAGCCAAACCCTTTTAAATGTTATGTATTTAGCCACCCTGGCTTTTGGGCTGCCTTTTGCATCATTGGCTGATAATGAAAGGAGACGTAGCTGGCTTCAATTTCTGGCCCATGTGCACGAGTAAGAGTAGGCAAAGGCTGGGCTGCAAGTGCTGTAGAGAAATATTTATGAGCTTATACGAAACTGTTTACACAGCATTTAAGTTAATGTTTTATTAAGAGAAGGTTTTACAAGACAGCTGTTCTCATGAGCCAGAGTGCCATGAGCCCTTTTTTTAATCTTCACCTTTCTCACCAGTGGCAATGAAAGAAGGAAAAACAACTTTCCAGTTCCTGATTTATAGGATAGCTACAACCTGCCCTGTGTCGTGATTTACTAGCTGGGTGCCTATGCCATGATGATAGGATGCCATATTTAGTACCAAAGGGATGAAGTAAGATTGCAAACTGCCAGGGCAGGGAAACACCTTTCTTCTTCTGCAGGAGGAATAAAATTTATGTGACATTTCAAAGTCATTTGAGTTGATGCTGAAGAGGAGAACTGTGGCAACACCAGCTGGGAACTGGAGGGGATATAAACCCCCCCACCTGGTTGCTGGGAAGGGTGATTTGTGCAAGTTGAGTGCTGGGCTGCACTTGGCTACCTGCTCCCCAACAGCCATGACCTGTTTTTATTTTAAATACTCACTTGCAGCTTTGTCAGTCAGGCCAAGCATGCAGCTATGGTAGTGCTGCACCGGCCTCTAGTAACTGAAATCCACTGCTGGTATGACTGATACCCCTCTTTGACGCTGTTCTTGACACACTCTTGACCTGCTGAGCAGAAAGTGGAGGCCTGGGAAAACAGGGAGGTCTCCCCCTCAACAGTTCTGCGCTGCTCAGTCCTTGGGGAGAGGAATCCCCACCGCTGTGTGTTTGCTCGGATTCCTGGCCTCCTCCACTTGCAGTGGTGTGCAGTAATCCTCCAGGAAGACGGTTGCCAGATTCCTTAGCCTTCTGCTGGCCGAGAGAGAGAAGCGAAGCATGCACTCCACTACTGGGAGAGCTGTGGTCTGCTGGCGTGACTGCGGCGTTGTCAGGTACATCAGCGTTGTGACTGCCGACATGACCGTCTCCTCATTGGAGCTGGAGAGGCAGTTGATTATGGGCTCTACCCCATTTGCCTCCAAGATGTAGTCTTTGTTAGTTTTATCCAGGCACAGGTTACAAAGACCGCCTGAAACAGCAGAAGAAAATGTCGGATGCACGCAAGACAAACTCTTCACACCCTCATTTTTTTCTTACTAAGATTAAAATTCACTGCTGATCCCTTTTTCCTAATACAGAAATAAACATCCAGATTTTCTGTGAGATTTAGATGGAAAATTCCTAACAGTTTCCTGGGCACTGTTTTCTTGATCCTTTCCAGAGATTTTCCACCAGAACATTCCTCCTCCTGTATGTCATTAGAGGGCACTGTACTGCCGGACATAATGTCTTTCACAGAATGAAGAACTGCAGTATCACTTAACCCTAACGGAGGCTACAAGCCAGCAGTTTATCGCAGGTGTTTTAGAAAGAGAACAGAGATAACAGTACTAGCCAAGAGGCACAGAATGTTTGTACTTGAAGCTATTAAGATGCAGCTGTACCCTGCTCAGCCACAAACCTCAGAAATCAAATGTCCGTATTATCATCTCATGGAATCACTCACAGTTAGGACCAGGCCCCTCAGGTTATACATAGTCCTTACCAATCGCAAACTCCACGAGGGTCTCGCTGTCTTCGGTGAGCGTATCGAGGAACAGATCCAGGACCTGCAGTTGCCGGAGGTACTCGTAGTTTTTGGGATCGTAGGCAAAGTTGGCCAGGTTTGCCAGTACCTGCTCCTTGGCCTCTGCAACAGAGAAGCATCGGGTGCGTGAGGAAACTCGTTCAACACGAAGAGCATCAGCGAGCAGCGGTGCCCGGGGCTTACCTGGGCTGTCTGTCACCTGGAACTCGGTGACCAGGGCCTGCAGGTACTCCAGCCGCCCCAGCTCCATCCCGGGCCCAGCAGCGAACGGCTCAGCCCCCGGAGCCTGCGAGACACC